TAGAGGCCGGAGTAGAGAGTGACATCTGGGGTAAAGATGCCAGGTGGGGAGAGCCTGAGTGCTTATGACATGGTGTCACTAAGATGTTGGGATCTTGATTCTCATAACGAGCTTACAGTGATCTCATATAAAAGAATGTGGTGGAGGATAAAAATAAGTCAGGCCCATGAATAAACGTATAATTTAGAATCGGTGGAACAAATAACAATGTCGCTGTCCTCTCAAGCCTTTATCCTCTACCTTCCACTGGGGGGCACCCACTGCTTCCTACTCACCCCTACCTCAACCGCTTTTACCTCTCTTGCCCTGGTTCAGCTGAGTGACAGAGGCCCCTCCCCGCCTCCTTCCTCACTCCCTGCTTCCCTTTATTCAGATGCTCCAGTTCACTAATGCTTAGTGATCAGGCATTATACCCTCTGATTGTAGTGCTGGGCATGGTAACAAACAACTATAATCCCAGTCCTTGGGAGGCTGAGGTAGGAGGATTGCAAGTTCAAGGATAGCCTGGGCTACATAGGAAGACTCTGTATTAATCAATCAGTCAATCAATCACAGCAACATTAAACAAACAAAACAAAAATAAAGAAGACATGATAGTTGTCCTTATATACTGAGTGTCCTTGGAGAGACAGGGGACCCTGCAGCTCCTCCCTTATTTCTCTAGCTCTTAATCCCCATGTTCCCCTCCATGTATACCCAATTCTGCTTCCCTACCTGCAGAGTTTCCTGCTCCTGCCTCTCTACTATTGGGCCCTCATTTTCTATATCCCTCTCTGATGGAACACAGCCCAGATCCTGAACACCAATAGGAAACATTGATTTGCCCAGGCCCTGAGGCCTGGATCCTGCTGCTTGCTCTATTAGAATCAATCTCCCTGGCTTTTTCCCTGGGCTGCTCAGTTGGAAAAGGGTCAGGACAGCTGAAGGACTGGTTTTTGGCTGAAATAGGCTCCGAGGGAATGGGGAGGTCATCCTGCTGGGGGCCCAACACCCACAGGTCAGGAATGTCTTTCACTGAAAACAATGCACTTTCTCCTCCATTGTCAAAGCTTCTCTCTCATCCTGGGGGCAGTGTTTTGGAGGTTAACACCCCATTTTCCAGATTAGACCCTGTACTCAGTAGGGAAGAAGCTTATAGACTGAATGAATACCTAAAGGAATGGCTGGCCTGGGCTCCCTGTGGGGAGGTGCTGACTAAACTCTGGGGTCCCTGGCAGTGTGTCTCCCTTCCCTCCCTGCTCTGACATCAGGCATCCTGCAGGCTCAAGAGTGATCCTCAGACCAAGGCTATACTTGTCTCTCTCTCTCCTAAGAGCAACAGGACTGTTCCAACCAGAAACCTCAGCTAGGCCTCCCAGCTGCACCTCCACCCGTCCCTGCAAGAGACAAGTTCAATGTGTACCCAATAGCCCGGGGTTACCCAGGCTTCAGCCTGCTCTCTGAGCCTCAGCTTCCCTCCTTTGTTTAATAAAGCCTCGCATCTTAAAGGTTCTTAAAGTGTAAAGCTTCCCAAATCTGCCTATCTGTAACAGCAGATTGCCTCCTCCACCTCTCTCTAGGGGCACCTCCTGCCACTTTCTCCAGTGTCTGAGGGGGAAGTCGTGACCTGCAGGAGGCAGTGAGGGGCTCTTCCTTGCTCCCCCTTTGCCAAAGCCTACTCAGCAGTCCCCTTCCCCTGTCACCAGGGAAGACTTAGGGGAACTCCATCAAGGGTTTCCATTCTTCTCTCCCCTGGCCTGCTCCCTGCCATTCCCAATGACCCCCCCCAAAGTCCCCCATAGTTACTGCCCACTTCAGGCTTGCAAACCATCTCCCCCACCTCCAGGGAGGAAAGAGAACTGGCATGGAGGGAATGAAGGGAGGGATGGGGTGATAGTGGGATAAGAAGCTCTTCTGGAACCAGAGGGGAAGCAAGTGGAAAATGAAATCTGGAGAATTGTCACAACAGCATCCACTTGTGTCCAGAGCCCTCACAGAGCAGAGAAGTCTGGCCATTGGCATTAGGGGAGGTATCCTGGCCCAACAAGGCTAAGGGCTGGACCCAGAGCTAGGTCCAGAGCAAGGCCTGCACAGAGAGAGAGGGCTCCTGGGATGTACAGGTTTCCATGTGCTCAGCTGTATGCAGTGGGACTGCAGACCTCCAGCTGCTGTTTAGGGCCAGCCAAGGAGGAGAAGGAGGTGAGGGTCATGGGAAGCAGTTCCCTGGCTTTAATTGGCAATCTTTCTTCATCACCCAGATCACCCTCAGCATTTCCCCCAGTATATTATACAACCCCCGCCCCTGTCCCGTCCCACTCACTGGCCACAAGCTATTAAGGATCAGAGATTGGGCTCTCAGTGAGATGGCCTCAGTATTCCTAGCCTCATTGAGTCAGCAATGGTCTTCCCCAGTTTCCTCCATGTTAGGGAACTCTATTTGCATCATCTTTGCTTTTTTTTTTTTTTTTTCTGTTGGTCGTAGGGCTTGAATTCTGGGCCTGGGGGCTGTCCCTCAGCTCTTCAGCTCAAGGTGAGCGCTCTACCACTTGAGCTACAGCGCCACTTCCGGTTTTCTGATGGTTTATTGGAGATATGAGTCTCACAGTCTCTCCTGCCCAGGCTGGCTTTGAACCGCGATCCTCAGATCTCAGCCTCCTGAGTAGGTAGGATTACAGGCGTGAGCCACCAGCGCCGGGCTTTGCTTTGTTTTTATGCTGGTACTGTAGCCTGAACTTAGAGCCTTGTGCTCTTGCTTAGCTTTTTCATTCAAGGCTGGTGCTCTTACCATTTAGGACACTCTTGTCACTGATTATTTTTTTTTACTGATTAGTTTAAGATAAGAGACTCATGGATTTGTCTGTTTCAGCTGGCTTTGAACTGTGACCCTTAGATCTCAGTTTCCTGAGTAGCTGCTAATAGCTAGGATGACAGGCATGAGCCACCATGCCCAGTTGCAATGTTGGTTTTTTTTTGTTGTTGTTATTATTGTTAATTCAACTCACTTTGAACTTAAAATCATTTAAGAGGAAACCTTATCTCACTGCCATCCCTAGGAACAATGAAGCCAGTGGTTTGACTTCTCACTAAGATTTGTTCTAACCCTTATGAAAATACAGGTATGACTACTGAATATAAACCAATGATTCTCTCAAAGTCACCTCTGTCTCTGGACCTCACTTTGGGGAGCACAGCAGAGGATCTTGACTAGGGGAGAGAGAAGAATACTTGGGGAAGAGAGGAGCAATCCCAGATTAGCAGCTGTGGTGGGGAGACCAGGGGCAGGTAAACAAGCAAGTCCACACAGTGTGGTGCTGCATGGTGCTGCTCAGTGCCTGCTCCACTAAATAAACAATTGTCATCTGTCAAAGGAAGCATGGCTGTGAAAACCCAATAAGTACTAGGGTCAAATCAGGCCTGTATCACTTGCTGTGGCTTTGGGCTTGTCACTGGGCTTCTGAGCCTCAGCAGCCATCTTCCTGCCATCTCTGAAAAGGGGACTACACTAATACACCACAGGAGAGTTGGGGGACTCTCAGACCATGGAGATGATAGAGAGGCCCTGGGGAGCAGTGTCCATGGTATTTACTATGGTTTTGGTGGGAGGTACAGGATCCTTTAGGCTGTGTGCTCCAGATGTCAGCTGTGCCTGCTTCAGCCTCAGCTGGGTGTGTGTGTGTGTGTAGGGGGGTGGGGGGCTGACTCTCCTATGTCCACCTGTGGTTGTGCAAGGGGTGACTGTGACCTGGTAGCAGGCCTGGTAAACCATGGCTGTGTGTAGGAAAGAAGATGCTAAGAACCCACTCTTCAAGGACCCCCTGGGGTCAGGTGGTTGAGGCAGAGCCCGATGCCCCAGTCCTAGGCTTTCTTCAGGGTATGCCACTGGTTGATGATGGGAGGGGGTGAGCCTAGGAGATTGTTTGTGCCACTGGGAGTGACTTCTGAGGGACCGGAAAGGCAAATCTATGCTTCATGCCCAGGAATATGGCTAACTAAGATGGGCCCCCTAGCCAGGCCCCAGGGGGTAAGGGTGACCTGTTTGGCTAGAGGATGGGGAACAGAGGGCTAGGCTTGGGAAGGTGGGGAGAGGAGGGAAGGAGGGGTGGCTGGTTGGTATTTGGGTATTTTTGAAGGGACTCAGAATTCTGTATGGGGACCTCAACCCCCGGCCTTTTTAATTTTTCCTCAGTTTTGTACTGTCCTTTGTCCCCTGTGCGTCTCTTTAGGGATCTAGAACCTGCCTGTGTTGGGAGAAGAGATTGAAGAAGGGGAGGGGAGGTGGGAGGGAGGGGGCAGGGCTCAAGCTGTTCTGTCTGCTTTCTTTCTCCTTTAAGTTTGTCTTTAATCCATCTCTCACTGTTCTCTCTGTGACCAACCTCTCTTGTCCGTCCGTCTGTCTGTCTGGAGGTGGGGTGGGGTGGGGTGGGGTGGGGAGAGATCTTGTCCCTTGCCCTAGACCCTGGTCCTCCATCCCCTTGGGAATTCCTGAGAGGGTTCTTTGGCCTCATTCCCTCACGTTTCCTATGCCTGACTCCTTTCCATGACAGCCTCTCGTTTAACGATCCATACCAGTCTGAGGGAGGAGACTAAGGCCTCCAGCCTCTCCTTAGAAAATGTTCTAGAATAGCCTATAAGCTCCTGTCTCTCTAATTCAGGAGCGTACAAAAGGCAGCTCCCTTTCCCTCTGTGTCCACCAGCTTTACAAAGGGCGAGGAGGGGTGGTGTGTAGCAAAGGAGGCTTCCAGGATACCTCCCTTCCTCCTTTCATTACACAGCCCTTCCCCCTTGCCCAGCGACAGCATAACTGCAGTTACTATGGCCCCAAACCCACAGAGGAGGAGCAAACTGCTTCCTGGCTTTGCTCCCCTCCCCTCCACTGGGGCCTCAGGTGCACTTTCCACCTGGCACCCCGGTGAAGGGTGACACCCTAGAAACGTCTCTACTCCTTCAGGATCCCGGGTGGAGGATGGGCAGCCCCAGGCCGGGCACGCCATGACCCACCGCGCCCCTCTCCCCTCTCGCAGATCCCGAGCGGAGCAGCCCCCCCATGCTGTCTGCGGACGATGCCGAGTACCCGAGGGAGTACCGGACCCTGGGGGGCGGGGGCGGCGGGGGCAGCGGGGGCCGGCGCTTCTCCAACGTGGGGCTGGTGCACACGTCTGAGCGGCGACACACAGTGATCGCTGCCCAGAGCCTGGAGGCGCTCAGCGGGCTCCAGAAGGCCGATGCCGACCGCAAGCGCGATGCCTTCATGGACCACCTGAAGAGCAAGTACCCGCAGCACGCCCTGGCCCTGCGAGGCCAGCAGGACCGCATGCGAGAACAGGTGAGTGGGGCTGGGCTGGGGGGCTGCGGGCTGGGGACGGGGTGCGGGGAGGGGGGCGAAGTTGGGGAGCTGCCTCTCTCGGGGTAGTGTCCTCTGGTAGGTCTTTTCTGAGGCCTGGGGGAGGAAAGTGGGGCTCAGCTTCCAAACCTCTTTTGCTGTCCTGGAATTTGGAGCACCTGGAGTTGGTCCCAGGTTGTTTGGGTGGAAGTGCAGGAAGGCGTGTCCTAAAGGAGTCGTTGTAAGGGAGGAAAGGGAAGGGACAGCTTTGGGTACCGACCTGCTGGAACTGAAGTTGGACCCAGTCGTAGAGTTGGGGAGCTTGGACTTGGGCGGGAGGTTCCAGAAATCTGAAATCTAAGAGACGGTCAGGTCTCAGGAGCCTGATTGGGTAGGCTGAATCTGACCTGGCTCTAGTTCTTGCAAAGGCAGAGTCCAGAACTGGGGTCTTTTACCTCTTTCCTCTCTGACCTAGCCACCGCTCCTCCTGTACTCTCAGTGGCTTAGATCTCTGGTGCCATAAGGACGGTTGCGAGAGGTGGGGGTGGAGGGACCAGAACCTGTCTCTTCCTATATTCAACCTTACCCAGATCCTTACATACCCTGAATGTACCCCTCTACCCAAGCGTGAGCTTCTCAGTTATGAAAACTAGTATTCTGCTTTCAGTCCTGCATTGGGGTGGGTGGTGTGTGTCTTAATGGTGGCTGGTGTATTGGCTGCTAGGACTCTGGCATTGTTCCCTTTGGGAGAAGGAACAAAGGAATGGTAGTAAATCCCATCAGCAGCCTTTCACTCACATGTTGGGGTGTCAGGCCTTGCTCCCTTTTCCAGGTAGTAGTGGACGTGACTGGGATGTTGGCACATTTCTGGTACCTTGTCTGTCCCCCTGATGTCATCTCCAGTTCTGTCTGGTTTTTGCCTTTTCATAGCTCCAGAGTCCTGGGAGCAGCATCCAGGGTGGGAATAGGAAGAGCTGCAAGATGAGAGTATGGCCTTGGTCCTCAGGGAGCCCCCTTCAGTGGGCTCTCTGAGAGCTCTGGCTTGGAGGGGTGGGGCAGGGACATTTGTCATCAAATGTCATCCTTCCTTCCCAGCTAAGGACATTTGCTATGAATGCTAGCTGGGAAGAAAGGTTGCTTAAATTCTGTTATAAGAGGTACAACTCTTCCGGAGGGGTTAAGGGGCAGGGACATCAGGTATGAAGGCCTGTTCAGAAAGGCTTCCTGAAGGAGGAGTTACCTACACAAGATCTAAAAAGATGGGATTTGAATAGGCCGAGGAGAATGTTTAGGAGGCATGGGGTGGGAGGCAACATGAGCCCAGACTTGGGTTTGGGGAATGGCCCTGGCTGGTGCAGAAAAGGCTTAGAGAGTGTGTGTATGGGAAACTTGTGGGACCAGTTGACACTAGGGCAGGAAGGTGGAGACTGGATGTGGGGGCAGGGTTTGTGGTATTTGGGAATCTGGCAACAGGAGGACTGGGGGTTCAGGAGGGGAGACTTAAGCTTCTAGGAGGCTTAAAAGTGGGAAAAAGTGGAGACAGGGAGATGTCGGTACCTTGGAGAAAAACAAAAGGGTAAGGGAGCATGTGGGAAGGGAAGGAAGAACATAAAGAGTGGGTGGGGGCTGGGAAGTTGGCTCAGTGGTAGAGCGCTTGCCTTGCATGCCTGCGTCCCTGGGTTCGATTCCTCAGCACCACATAAACAAAAAGAAAAACGCCAGAAAAGTGGTGCTGTGGCTCAAGTAGTAGAGTGCTAGCCTTGAGCTGAAGAGCTGAGGGACAGCGCTGAGGCCCAGAGTTCAGGCCCCACGACTGGACCCAAAAAAAAAAAAAAGAGTGGGTGGGGCCTTCACAGCTAGACAGCATATGTGCAGCACTGGACTCCAGTGAGCCCATTGCTGGGAGACCTGAGCATGGTCAAAGCAGATATGGACATGGGATGTGAGATCTGAGAGTAAGAGCCATCTAGGACTAATGGAGTCTAAGATGAGAAGGAAGCCTGTGATGATTAGGGAGAGAATCCCAGAAACCCTGAGGGGAACAGAAAAAAGGCCCCTGAAAGAGGGGCTGGCAGGAGAGACCTGGACTTCAGAAGTTGAAATGATGGGACAATCACTGGGATTGGCAAGGAGTTGTGAGTCCATTGGGTGCTGACAGCTCATGTTGGGAGTGTAGTATAAAATAGTGGGCTGGAGAAACTGGGTGGTGGGGCTGGGAAGGTGGTTCAGTGGTGGAGCGCTTGCTTTGCATGCATGAGGTCCTGGGGTCGATTCGTCAGCACCACATAAGCAGGAAAAGTCAGAAGTGGTGCTGTGGCCCTTGAGCTGAAGAGCTGAGGGACAGTGCCCAGGCCCAGAGTTTAGGCCCCACAACCAATGAGAGGGAGAGAGAGGAAGAGAGGGAAATGTCTCGGAAGGTGTAGCTGGAGAAAGCTGAAAAGAGCCAGGGTGGCAGCTTCAAAAGGTGATAGGCCTGGAAGAGAGGATGCTTCTGGCCTCAAAGGCTGCTGGCATGTTCCCTAGCACAAGGAGTCTGGCTGGTAAACACTCAGTAAGTACTCTACAAATACTCAGGAAATGAAAACAAGCACAACCCTATCACAAGTTCATTCCTTTCCTCTGTCGTGGTGAACCATTCAGTCCTTCAGAGGGTGAGTAGCAGACACCCACCAGGCCCTGTTCAGTTGCCATGGAGTTAACTGGTGCCAGAGCATGGCGCTGGCTTGCCAAATAGTTGACTGAGGAAAGGAACAACTGAGAGACAGGACAGAGGACATTAGGGAACAAGCAAATTCTGAGGGAATCAGGGCAGGTGGCCTTGGAGTAGAAGGAAGACACATTCATGGAGATGGCAGGGACACACTCTCTATGCATATAACTGGGGTGAGCTTCTCTCGCTCAGTGGTCCTCTGTGAGGTTGAAGGGGACATACTTAGTGAAGAGTGATCAGGCCCTCACCAGGGAGGAGCTGGTGATCAGAATTTCAGGGACTTGTATTGGGGAAGACCCTACCCTTGCCAGGGAGGAATGACTGACACCCTAGAGGACCCAGCGAATGGGAGAGACCTAGTGTCCCTCTATTGTGTGAGCCTGATATCCAGGCTTGCCTCAGGAATGCCCCCCCTCCCCAGCGGCTCCTGCCCGCTCCCCCTAATGGGGTGTCCCTGGCTTCACACACACAGGTTGGCGGCTGGACCGTGGACCCTGTGTGCCTCCTCAGCTCCCTCTGCTCCCACCTCCATGGCGACTCCGCCCCCTCCGGGGCTGGCCAGCCGGCCCAGGTGAGTCACCCACCTCCACCCCCACCCCAAATCCATGCTGGAGCTTGGCTTTGGGAAGGCTTTTTTTTGGAGGGGGGATATTAAGAAGAATTATTTTGCATCCCTTTCATGTAGGAACCACCCCCCCCATTTGCAGGAGACTTTCTATGTCCTATGCTCACATCCCCACCCCCATTGTCTAATTTCTTACCACTACCTCCCCAAACCTGGTTGGTTTGAAGGAACTAACTTTTTGAGGGACAATCTCATGATTTAAACATGTGCATACACACACACACACACACACAAGTATCTCCTTTAAACAGGTGAACTGTCTTACTCCATGGCTTTTCAGGAGCCTCTTATTCTTTTACCAACCCCTCCCCCCAACCCAACTGAGATCATCTTATTTCCCTATTCACATCGTACTCTTCCATTTCTGAACAGTCAACCTTCCCCTGACTTCTGACCAGGAAGTTCTACATGATGTTTCTCTCCCTTTCTTCTTGCGATGTCAAGGTTTAATCTCAATTTTTTTTTTAAAAAAAAAGAGATTTTGGGGGCTGGGAAGTTGGCTCAGTGGTAGTTTTCCTCGCATGCATGAGGCCCTGGGTTCAATTCCTCAGCACCACATAAGCAGAAAAAAGCTGTGGCTCAAGTGGTAGAGCTCTAACCTTGAGTTTAAAAGCTGAGGAATAGCGCCCAGGCCCAGAGTTCAGCCCCCACAACCAAAAAATAAAAAATAAAAAGAAAAGAAAAGGAAAGAAAAGAAAAAGAAAAAAGAGAATTTAGGCATGTAGCCTTTGGTTCTGAATTTACTCCCTAGTTCCTCACCAAACCTCAGTATGCCTGATGGGAAGATAGATGTCAGTGTAGACAGTGGCATGCTTAGACAAGATACTAGGAGCTGGGTTCCTCTGGATATTTATTGTCAGGGAAGAATAATAAGGCCAGAACAGGGAGAAGGGACCAGGGAGTTAAGAGTTGTGGAGGGGAGAGGACAACACAGGAAGGTTTCAACTAAAGGATATTTATCTTGTATGTGTGTGTGGACGAGTGGGGATAGAAGCAGCAAATCTAGGGTGTGGAAGGGGTCCTGGTCTTCATATACCTAAAGGTGACAAGCCTTGACTTTTTCAAGGAATAGTAAATGAAAGGTCATTGTGACCACCTAGGAAATGACAAACCTCCACATTCTGGGCGTTTTGAGTTGGGCATAACTCAAGTCTAGCAATCGACTGACACACTTGGCATCACTCGCAGGGCATTGAGCCCACTACAGCCCCAAGTTGGCCCAACTCAGGAATAAGGATGTGTCTTTCCCCCAGACTGGATGACAAGTGGGACGGACTTGGCCTGAGCAAGACAGGGTGTGCTTATGGAGACCAAAGTCGTTGGGACAAGGCTGGAGATGAATCAGAGGACAGGTGCAGTGTGCACAGGTGCTTGGAGTTCCCCAGAGGAACATCTAAGAGAGGGGACATCTAAGGGTCGAGGTGATTGATATGAGGCTGGACTCTGTGATCTGTTATGGTCTGTCCACATCTGCCATCTACTCTTAATGGAGGGGAGAGGAAACTTCCCCCAGGCTGTGTGCAGGGCCTTGGCATTACTTGTTACTTGGAGCTTAAGACACTCTTTGTCCCCAAAGATAACTCTGAGGTTTCTTTCTGTAAAGTCAGAGACATTTAGCCAAGGGCCAGAGTCACCCAGCAGAAGCCATCAAGAAAACTTAAGCATCCTAGGCCTTCCAGACTCAGCAGGGAGTTCAGTCAGCGGAAGAATGAAAAGGGAAAGGTGCACAGCTGAGACTCTGGTGAGCGAAGGCTGTGGGCTCGAAAGGTGGAGGCGGTAGATCCGACCTGTGTGGGTGGAGGCAGTGAGGAGGACCCTGGGAAGAGATCGGGAGGTTAGAGCAAACCACAGCCCCTCCCCCTGCCTCCCTCCAGGCTGTCTAACCTCCCTCTCTCCTGCTGCAACCCGAGTCCCGGGCGGCGGGCCGGCAGATCGGGTGACCGCGGCGACGCAGCCACCAGCCTCCGCCG